AAATTTAAAAAATATAGGATACCTTCGATCCATTATTATTTCCTAATTTTTCCATCGGAGAAAATGAGATACAAGACTATTTCGAAATACATTCAACTTGATTGGATAGAATCGGAAGACAGCTCTAGTTTGGGGGAAATATAAGGGGAAGAATAAGGGGAAGAAATATCGACTGACCCACGTGACCGAATGATACGCTCGAGATTACACTAGAGATCCCTACTTCACACAAAACGTGTATTTAAGTACACGTGTACTGTCGTTCTTCGGGGAAAAAACGAATTTACGAGTGTCTGAAGCATATCTCCCTATGACAACGGTCTCAAACCTGGTTGACGCAAAAATTTTTTAATAAAAAATTACTTTTTATACCCTAATACGTACAAATAAATAAAACTTCACATCGTGACGTAACAGTAAAAATTCAGTGAATGAATGGTTATTTTTATTTTTTTTTTGTTCGAAGAGGCGTAGTAGCTTAAAGGTTGGAAACCGTTGCCCTATGAGATTATTGTCCCGACGCGGATCCAAGTTCGGGACGATAATCGAGAGGCGTCTGTAGTGGCGCTGGTGATACGAAAAAGAGGAAGACGAGTAAGAGAAAAGACGCGGCATTTCACGACGCCGCCAGGGGCTATTGTCTATTGTCCGCGAAGATAAACGAAGGAACGTTCCCTTTCACTTGCACACGCGTCCTGGATAAGGATCCCGATCACGAAGATAGAAAACAATGGAGGAGGCAACGAGTGCGCGCGACTGAGAGAGGGAACCATCTGCGGTTTGGCAACACTCGTGGTCCGTTCGAAAGAGAAGGAACGCGCATCGTCTTCTTTTTTCCGAGCGATTTTCACCGCACGAGGGGGTAACTTTCCTCTAAGACGTGTCTAACGGGGCTTACGAAAACGAAAACACCGCGAGACAACTGTGTCGGCGTAATTTATATACGCGAGTATCGAATTACCCGCGAGCAACGAGAGGAAAAGTGAACGCAACGAAACGGCTGGATACGGTGAGTCGTTCGCGATCGAGCGAGATCCTTGGATCCTAATTACGTTTCTCTCTGATCATCGTAGATAACCAAATTTGGATAACTGGAGTAGTATCGACACGGATACCTTTGAATTCCAGATTTTTCTTGTGTGATATTCGCGATTATGTTACTCAACACCAGGATACACAGGTGTTTGGCATTGCACAGGTGTGCAAGGAATAATCGTGTCCATGAATGGTCGTCGATCTACGATACCGTTTACGGTTTTTGCACTCCAAATACTACTTTTTGCAGGGGAAATTCACCCTTTTGAAAGATAATATTGATCCTTTTGTAAATCGAATGCAACTTTGTGCAAATTAAATTCACCCTTTTGTAGATGAAATTAACCCTTTTGTAGATGAAATTAACCCCTTTGCAGATCAAATACATCCTTTTGAAGATGAAACTCACCCTTTTAAAGATAATATTCACCCTTTTGCAGATGACGTTCACTCTTTTGTATATGAAATTCACCCTTCTGTAGATGCAATTCATCCTTTTGAAGATGAAATTCACCTTGTTGCAAATCAAATTCACCCTTTAGTAGATAAAATTCACTCTTTCCCAGATGAAAATCACCCTTTCTTCTTTCCCAGATGAAACTCACCCTTTCATAAATGAAATGTATCCTTTTGAAAAAGAAATTCAGTATTTTTTAAAATTATTTCACTAATTTCATGTATGTCGTAATGATGTTTATCCACGACGCAACAGTTCCTCGAGGGTTCGATGCCCGAAACACTGGACCGGAATGTGAAAAGCTGCGACCCGTTTCCGATCGTTTAAGCAGCGAGCCGCACTGGGAATAGGAACATCCTGTGGAAATTCGCGTCCCCCGAGCGGAAGTCGAGGGAGACCGCTTCGCGATACCCGGTTCCCGGCAGCTGGCCAGATTACCCGACGTGCGCCCACGATCGTTCGAATCGGTTCGGACATAAGAACTGTGGATTTTATGCCATTTATAGCCTATAGGTGTCAGTGAAAAACAATGGGGGACGAAAGTTTCGTCAAATGCAACAATTTTTTTGTTTCCTTTCGAATCCAATAATATAGTTAAAGGAAGAAAGGAATTCCTACTTTTCTTTTTATCGTTATGAACAACCTTCTAAAATGTGATTAGAGTCTAGTCAGGACATTAAATGTGAGTTTTGTCGCCGTGAAAATTAGGTGTCGCGTTTTGGTGACATTGGTTCCATTGCCACGACAAGAAAAGCCATGATTGTTTTTGTCACGTGAAAACGTACTTTTAAAATAGAATACGTCGTCGATACGATCTATGTAATTTCTTTCGAACGGTCGATTTGTTAAGGTCACCGAGGAGGACGATAAGTTCGTTCTAATGTTCGTCTAATTGAATCCAGACAGCGATTAATCACGTTGTTCAGTTGTTAAACGGTCGCAATTCCGCGGGAAACGTTGCGTTATCCGCGTGGAAACGTTTCGACGACGATAAAAGGGGGGAATTTATCACGGAAAACTGGGGCCACGATTTGTACGTCGGATTCGATATCGAGTGGATGCGCGAGTAAATGAACACGTATCAGTGAATAAACATTACATAATGTATAAAAACGAATAAATTAAATTATGTCAAGCAAGTGGCAAAATATTGATTATGAAAAGATATACAGTAAATCCTCGATGAGTGTTCGATGACTCTTAGTCACTGACAAGTAGAGATCCCCATTTTTCTGAAGCCAATGATATTTAACGTTCAGTACCCTTCGAACACTAATCGAGGATTTACTATACATACTAAAAAATCTAATTTTCTTATGCCAAATGTTTACTACTATTATTATCATTTGAAATTCGACTTCAATAGTTACAAAATCTCTTCAGTGTTCATTCATCGGTGCGTTTACCCTACGTCATGCATTTCACGATTGCTAAAAATTCGGCGAGCCTGATTCTACGCAAGAACAAAAAAAATTAGAAAGCTGATCACGTTGCGGGGGAGGACAACATTTAGTGCTTTCTCTCCCCAGGATCGATGGTGGAATTACGCGGGCGAGTTAGCCTCCACCTTCCCCCTCCTAACCCCACCTAAAGTGATCCGTTCGAATTCACCCGCGTCTCGAGGTTCATTGGGAAACGGTCGACCCGAATGAATTTCGATGGAGATCCCCGAGGCGATCGTGCGCCGTCCACGTTCGTCTCTCTGTTTATCTTCCGGGTGGAAGCAGCCTCGTGTGTCGTGGCCCAGGGAACGCAATGGGAGAAACAAAAAGAAACCCCCCCCCCCCCTCGGTGAGACCATCGTCTTCGCCAGAGGTTTGGAATGCGCACTATTCCTGGAGATTCTTCGGGGACTCGTTGCTCGTATTTTACGAAAAAGTTCTCTTCCTGGTCGACCGCCTCACCTTTCCACACGCGTGTATTCTCCGATCCAGTGGATTTAGAAAGGATCGTTCGGATGCCACCGATCGATTTGCACCTCGATGAACCCTTTCATTCCCACTGTTGCCTTATGGCACGTATTCGGAATTACAAAATAAAATATTAGTATCGTGTATTTTTTCGTATCTTTGAATATATATAAAATAGGATGGTCCTTTTTGCCTTTTTCATTCGATGGCATTCAAGTGTTGAGTATTGTTACAAATACAGTAGTAACTTATGGAACTCGAGCTTCTTTCAAATATTTCGAGAGGGTTTAGTGATTAAAGATAAGAAAAATTGGTTTTTAAGTATAGCAGTATAACGGGAATTATTATGTAATATATCACTGTGAGGAAAGTAAAAAGGTTTCTAATGGCAACGAATGAAAAATGGCATTAATGGCAAAAATACTACAAAATATTTCTTTGGTAATTTTTGAATTTCGGAATGAAAAGATTAGAAGTTTATAATATAGAATTTCAAATAAAGATTTTCCTAACTGACCTGAAGGTTTAAGAGCTTCCGTGATACGATAAGAAATGGAATCGTGTTCAAATGTTAGTTGAAAAGCGTCTGGGCTCAATTATTCAGCAGTCATTGGAAATATTTTTATGCAACGATTTCCTCGTCCAACCGTATGGGAAACAGTAATAGCATGCAAATATAGTGATTAAAGCGAAAAAAAAATATGCCCGATCCTGCCAGGATTCGAACCTGGAATCTTCTGATCCGTAGTCAGACGCGTTATCCGTTGCGCCACAGGACCGTGTTCTTACGACATTTCTAGTTCCGATACAAATTTCTATTGTTAAACAATTATTGAAAAGCTAACAACATATTACAGTAGTTTAAATCAAGAAAAGTATATTTACTTTTCCATCGATCTTCATCTGTAACACGATGTAACGTTACACTATTTACGCATCAGACGTGACATTTAAAAGTTAGCGAATAGCCTTATGTGACATTTATCGAGGTTGAATTTTATCACTTCCTCACCTTCTGATATATAAATACAAAGAAGATAAGAGAACAACAGAAAGTCGTGGAGGACGATTTACAGTAACAATTAAAAAGTCCTTGACTAGATTGTCCACAAATCTGTCTGAATACTTATTACAGTATTATTTTCATATTGAATTTATTCTTCAGTCTCACGTCTAACCACCATACTTGCTACTAACTCAAACACAGTGATCGTTAAAATATTAATATTAACGAATCGCGACCTTACGGTGATGACTTTGAAACAGAAACATCGAAAACAACTTTCGATTCGGTGTTGGTTTGGTTTCAGAGAATAGGTCTACCGTATTAGTATGGTATTGGTTACTGTTATTGTTATAATTGTATTAATCTAATGCGACAAATCTCGCGCGCACTCTACATTTGGTAATAAAGAAGCGAAAGTAACGATTCGTAAACACACGCGAGACGGCGGTGAACGCATCGACGGATCCTGAATCTTTGTATGTCCTACAAAATAGGATCCTGACAATGTGTCAAGGAAAATACCCGAGGCGTGATTAGAAGAGGTAAATATTATTACCCGCGCAATATAATCGCGATGGAATAAAGAACTCACCGTGATCAGCGGAACTGCAGTCTCGGAATGAAATGAAGAAAAAATAAAATATATCACAGGCGCGACAGTCCCGTCGATCGCGAGACTAGTAGGAACGTAATCGGTGCACGTTCGAATACGCACGGCACACAGAACCGATACTTTCGAAACAATAACGCACTTCGTGACACTTCCGCGAAACAACAATAAACGACACTTATCGAACGATCTCTCTTTCTATCGTTCGAAAAGGCACACACACCCGGTAAATCGGTCGCCGTTAGGACGGCCAGAAGACATTCGAGACCAGGCGAGAGACGATTCGCGGGTCCCAGTAACCGATAGGGCACTTTAAATCGACGAGTAACGTCAATGTCACCCCGTCACCGTCCATCGAGAACAGAAAGGGTGCCGAATCCGGTCGATGGTAACTACGAGATAATCGTGTCCAGTTGTTTCCCACAAAACGTTCAACCGTTTCCACTCACTGTCCGTGGCTGGAACGGTCATGTGTGTCACACAGCCGCACGCGTCCCGTTCAAAGATTCGTGAACACGAGCGAATCGCACCGAGAGCTGTCACGGACCGACCTCACTCTCGCCATTTTGGTTTACACTGACACTCGGTGACTCGGGAACGAGCGGAACGAGCAGCAAGGTGTTTTACCGTGTGTGCGCATGCGCGCGACAGGTGGCTATCCGGGAGTTAAACGCGATTCGCAACGCATCGGCCGTTGTACGGCAGTTTTCATAACCTTGACATTATCATTAAATTGTCGGCTGATTTAATTGAACATTTTGTGGAATACCTTAGACACGGTTGTTATTTTGCAAAGTCGATTTGGAGTTGAATTTGATAGGCCCGTCGAACACTGTTTTAACGACATTAGAGAACGACCCTACAGTACCGACTAAATGGAGAATAGACCTATCCTTCGAGTTTACATATCTGTACTTTTTTCCGGCCACAGTGCGGGGGCTACGTAGCCCCCGTATGCACCAGTTTACAGTAGGTACTCGTTTATTGCAGCCTTCAGGGCTGTCGATGGCCAGAATTCCAGGAATATTGTAATATCTCATTAAATATAATCGTTGCGATCCGAGCAATTTTTTAAGATAAAACTTGTTAAGAAATACTAGTACATATTCCGCGCCAACTATTTGTCGCTGTCTATTCTCTGCCTCGTCTGTGTCTACAGTTGATTCGTTACCTACAGTAGTTACAATTTTATTGAATTTATGTACATAATATTTCTACATTGAAGACATTCTATATGTTATTAAAAATATTTCGTACACACTTTATACGATATTGTAATGGAAAGACTCTAAAAAATGCACTGAAATCAAAATATCATATTCAAAATTAGAAAAAAAAAATTTGGCCCATGGGGGGATCGAACCCACGATACGCTCTAACCAACTGAGCTAATGGGCCTCGTTGTTTGTACAATTTCTTACACCAAGTATTCTAATACGTATGCAAATTGTATCAACATTCAATTACATGATTGGTTGTTTTCTAACACCGCCAACCAATAATTTCAATCTGTAAATGCAGCATTAAATGACTCGTGACTTGCATATAATAACCACATTATTTGCTCATCAGTTTGTAAATTGTAGGGTTCATGCATGTACATGCTCTTGACAGTGACACATACTCGTCACTATTAATAAGTTCGTCTCGTTGTACGCTGACGAGCGTTTTTCTCTTGTATAACAGAAATTCACCTGGCTATACGTCGGTCTCTGCAGTAACAAGTTTTCCGAGCAACGTATACGGCCGGTTGCGAGTTGCCGTGACTGTTCAACGAACGAAATTAAAAAATAATCGAACTCGCTGAAACTTTTCCGCGATGAACTTCTTCTCTGTTGCATTTTCCTTATTGACGGATGCTTCGTTATCCCAACTGTTTCTTTCCCTCGCGGTGGGAGGTTCGTGAACTCTACATATTGATTTCAACTATTCCTAGAGACGTACGAGGAACGGTCAATGGACTGTCGTCTTTCACGTCCATCAACCGGTCTAACAATAGTTAAACGCCGCGGGTTCGTAAGGCTCGTTCGAACGAAGGCAGGGGAGAATTGTATCTCGAGATCTCGCGGACGACAAACTGAATTTCGCGTATGGTACGAGTACCTCTATCACGATACTCTTATCACGATGTACGGACGTAAATTGTTATAATATAAACATAATGTATAAACATCCGTGAATATATCTACGTTTAAAAATTCCTACCCGTCCGCTAAGGGATGTTTTATGCACGGATGGGAAATCGATAAATTGGTGCATTGACCGATGGTGGCCGTGTGTCTATAGTCCGTGACAGGCTGCGTGGATTTTCATCGCGAAACAATGAACGGAATATGATGACCAGACTGCGGATTTATATGCATTTGTAGCGTACAAAATAGTAAATGGTAAACATTAACATCCGATCTAATACATTCTCTGTCTTATTCTTGTCGTAATAAAATCCTTCAGAAAGGAAAGAAAATCCAATCTGTCTTTGCAATCGCTTCGTGAAATGCTATTATCCATAAAGTTCCGCGGTCTACCGGTGACTTTATCGTGTGAAAATTTAAAACCCGCTTTCACGGGCGATTATCATGGCCGCGTGACATTTTAGACTCCTGTACTCTGATACAGGTTTCGTTTCTCCATCCAATGAAAATCTTGTCTCTTTCTCCCTTTCCACGAGTCTTTTATCATCGGCTCGAGGCACTCCTATTATCACTCGGGCACGTACGATAACGTGTGTACGGTCGTCGTGAGTTTTGCTCGTGGAAACTTAGCTTGTCATCGTTATTACACGGTCATCTCGACAACACGCTCTGCGATGGACGGACAGAACACATTGTGAGTACAGTTCGAGTTAGCTGTGACGCCGATTATCTTATAAATGCAACATACAGATATATACAGGGTGTAACAAAAATGTTGGAGGACCCGGAAATGGGAGACTCGTGAAGTGATTTGAAACAAGTTTTCATTTAGCAAAAATGTTATCCGAGGCTGTGTTAACGAGATATTAACGAAAAATCCGCGCTGCGATTGGTAGCCAACGTTACCGCGGGAACTCGGCTGGCAGACTCGCGCTCTGATTGATCGGAGTTTGTTGTTAATATCTCGTTAAAAAAGCCTCGGATAACATTTTGGCTAAGGAAAAACTTGTTTCAAATCACCTCACGAGTCTCTCATTTCCAAAATTTCCAACAATTTTGTTACACCCAGTATATAAGATACTTCATGTTTCACAGACGAAAGTGACGCTGATGAAGCATTAACGTTTTTCGTGTCGCGACAGAAAATCGAGCGGCGCTGCGTAGGAGGAAATATTTAAAAAAAACAATCGTAAAATCAAGAAACGGAAATCGGCGATGTATCCACGCGGACGTGTTAATGGAAAACAGTCACGATCGAATATTTCGTTATTTTCGCTGGAAAACCGCCTAGAAAACGATTCCCCCCACGTGGGGAGACGTCCACTAAGCATGCATCGCGAAACGAAAGTGATTGCATAAGCGACGTATGAAAGCCGGGTGTATCGCGATCGGCTGCAGCGTTCCGAACAAGGCAGAAGTGTCCGTAGTTTCGCGCGCGAGCGATGCTGTCGTCGTGACGGCGAAAGTGAAGCACGCGACACACGGTTATTTTTCTATTCTTCTTTTTGTGTTTTTTTCTTTTTGGTCTCTTGAACGATTCATTTTTCTCGAGCTATCTGTTATCGCTGTTTCGACGACGCCACGGTGTCTTATCCGCTAGAGGTCATCTCTGGTCGTTCTTCGTTGGAATCCTCTGAGATATACTGAGTATATCGGTGTTTGGATCTTTTCGGAAATCATTGCGTTGCTAAAAAAAACATCGGAGAATGACGTTACTAGAGTTATCAGCTGAATTTGAAAATCAATGTTTTCGTCATGAAAGCATCGTTTATTCGCGAGTTTCTGAGCTTCTGGTACAGTGGTGGCTAAATCTTGTCAGAATAGCAGCCATGTAACACCTATCAGAAATACTCGAGAAACGCATCCTCTATTGGAACAGTATTAAATTCTGCGTTATGCTTACAATCCGTTTGTATATCGCACTGCATAATAAAGTCGAACAAACTTACACAAATATTACACATGTGTATGTCAAGTTTATAAAAAAATATTGTATAAGGGGCACTCGACCCAGCGTTAACTTCAATTAATTTTCATATGGCCAATTTTAAAGTGTCCCTATTTTTGAAAATTTGTCCATAAAAAGGATAAATAGGTCTATATCACTAAAGACTATAATACATCCATGTGTCTACAGAATCCGAAATGTTACTGTCCGAATCGCGGTAAGTGTCCAGAAGAGCCGTCTGCGGCTCGCGAGTCACAGTTTGGACACCGTGTGGTTCTAGTATTCTTTATTGCCTGACCTCCTCGGTCGGCACTATCAACCGTTGACCTCCAGAAAACGAAGTACCTCTATCTCGCTGCTGCAAGTTCAGTGTATGTCAATTTATTAGAATAAATTTACCCGTGAAATTGTCGCACAATTGGTAAAATATGATCGTTCATCAGCTGGGCAGTCCAGTCGATAGTCGCGATACTCCCTATAGTCGAGCGATTGGTTGACAGGGACGCGAAGGTTCTCCTTGGTAGTGGTCAGAGACGCGTTATAGACAGACGGTTTAGTTGCGATCCGTGCACGAGGGGAAAAGGTTCGTCAGTCGTTCGTCACTTTTCCGTCTGATCGAATCCAGGATTTTCTCGTGGTGGCTCCTCGTGCAAGACGATCGTGGGACCGTGTGATTTCGTTGCAAGATCGCAGTTTCTAATTCACTGTTCAAGGTGCTTTCGTCGGAAAAATTCGACACGTCAATCGGTAAGATTCACGTTCGATTCGCTTAGCCAGATCTTCTTGCTGGTACCACAAAAACAAGCTGTTAACTTTTATCTGAGACTGTAATGTGTGTTTATATACGTGAAACGTGATTAATACACCGTTGATAGTCACGGTGTGTCTCGACTACTAACCGGCCGAAATCTTCGTCGATTAACGCGAATTAAACTTGTTTCGCTCAATTCCCAGTTTTAGATACTTGAATTTCCTCGATCCACGCCTGTGTGTCTCTTCGTTACTCTTCGTGTTATTTCTTAATAGACCATCGCCTTGAAACTCATTCTAGTTAATTGCATCTAACACGTCTCTCCAGTGTTCGATGCCAGTAAAGCTAAAAAGTATTAAAAAAAAAACTGGGAGTGTTTGCGTCAAGATATTGTTGTATCTTAAAGTGTCAATTAAAGAACGGAATTTACCAAGTTATCGTCAAAAGTGGTACTTGGAAGTTATTCGAAATTTTAGTACATTTTTATAAGCATGTGCCACATTGGCGGAATGTTTGTGCTATTTATTTCATGTTTATAAATTGTGAGTAATACTGTAATACCTTCGAAACTGCCCAGTCATTTTTTTACAATACTAATTTGTATTTTTTTTTTATGTCAAATGTTTATTGTCTTTCGAAAGAATCAAGGTGACCTTGAAATCTCTGAAATGCCTCTACCCACAAAAAAAGCACGTACCTTATAACATGTGCCCCTTGATGTCATATAACTTCTAGGCCTCAAAATTTTCATAAAGTATACCGTTAAGTCATTATTCGAAGTGATCAAGTTAGCTGAGACACCCTGTATATATATACATAAACATATGTGCACTATAACAACAAATAAACAGAAAAGATCATTTATTATGAATGTATACGAAATTCTTTTTCAAAAAACTTTCTCCAGAGAGAAGTTATTCATTTTTGTCCATTTTCCTATATCCATTGAACACTGTGAGTCTTGGCAAACAACTGCGAATTCTTGAGAATCACTTTCGTTTCCACCGAGTAAATATGTTTTCGAAGAAAATACCCACAGTTGTTTGACAGTCGATATTTATAAAGAACTCGATCGAAATCCGGTTCGTGCACTTCACGGAAAAACAAGTTTAATCAGGCGATATTGTTTCTCGAATGGCTCATCATTTGCAAACTTGAATCGATGGTACTTAAACATCGGTCGAAATTGTTTCCGTTCGCATCCGCCGGCTTAAGACAACGTGAATTGATTACAGATTCGACCTAACAACGCGTTCGGTCAATTAGTTTCATTTACGGCGTCAAGCTTTTCGTCAATCGAAGCAATTGTGGCGTCGCCAGCTCGGATACTTCGAAAACGCTGATCACAGATCATCATCGGGTGAAAGATCGTATACATTCCCATCCGTGTTTACGGTTGTCTAATCTACGAATCCGATCTTGAGCAATCCTTTTACAACCCAGTCAGCCAAATTTTCTCCAATGCCTGTTATAAAGTTATGGCGACAATCCAGATGGCACACAGACGGTTTAATGACGGCTTAAATCACCTCAGACCTAAAATAGCCGTAAAATAGGCGTCTTCAAGGCGTCATGTGCTATTTAGGAAGTTTGATGCAAGATTTGCTATAAACAACTTGTGAGCATCATTGGTAGCAACAAATACAATAAATTGGCCTGCGCAGACTCTGTTCCGTTTCTGTCCCCAATTTAACACAGGTTATGTTGCAAGACTTGTTGTTAATTGGCTTGACCATTTTGTCAGCTGACGTTGCCTGTAAAATCCAAGTCAAATGCGGAAACAGATAGTTCTGATTTTTCAGACAACCTTTGCCATTATTTGCTGGCAATTTGCTCGCAACTTGTACACAACTGGTTCAATCGCGAGTAAATTCCAAGGCGTTTGAGCCATCCTCCGCTTCGATATTTCCCGCGTACGAAGCAGGTTTCGTCGACTCGATGGAAACGTGAGACACCGTTGTCGTGGCAAAAATGCGTCGGAACGCGTTTAATGGCAAAAAAAAATGTCTGTTCTCCTTCCCCCCCTCACCCTCCACCAGAGCAGTTCCGCCGTCCCCTTTTGGATGCACCCGTCGTTTCACGAACGGTGAAAGACGCTGTTTATTTTACACAATCCACGGTTCGTTCGCAGCCCGGTCTCGTTGCTGCGGCCAATTCAAATTCACCGCGGGATTTGGCAAGATAACAATCAACCCGTTGGTTTAAACCGCGAGAGTTATTTTCAGCCCATCCAGGAAGTCTCTGGATACCTGTGCATGGTCTCGTTGGACGAAATGTTTATCGATCGAGGAAACAAAATCAATCGTTTCCTCGATCGTGAAATCGTGTGGTTTAAGCTGACTTTCGTCTTGCAGGGAAGTACTACGTGAAACCATGGTGAAGGCGTACGGGGGTGTGTTGCTTGTGGTGGACATTTCGCTGGAGAGATTGTTCTGGTATTTAATTGATGAAATATTCTGCAATAACGTAGGAATCATATGCACGGGTGACTTGAATGCTCGTAGACCGTAGTAATCTGTCGTCGTACAGGTACAAGGCGTGTACGTTATGTAATTTGTTTTTGTGGTTTTTAATTACTCCTCACTTCCTCCGCGATGCTGCATTCGTTATGTATATAATCGTAACCTGTGTGCCCCTGTGCGTTATTTATCGCGTACAACAATTACAAGCAGTTTGCTTTTATTCGACGTTAACTGCGGACTGGACACCGGATTGTAATTTAATGTATTATAATATTAAGTGACAGTTTGGTTGTTTCCGCAGGTAACAGGAGCGGGACACGGTATTGGCAAAGAATTAGCATTGAAATATGCATCGCTTGGCGCTACTGTTGTTTGCTGGGACCTAAACCCGCAAGGAAACGATGAGACAGTGAAAGAAATTAACCAGATGGGCGGCACTAAAGCTCACGGTTACAAGTACGTGAAAAAAGGTGTAAACGCCAAAACTCAACTGTACCATGTATCCGCATTGTTATTCTACAGACTTTTCCGATGATCCGCAGATGCGATGTGTCGAACAGGGAGGAGGTGCTCAAAGTGGCCGATATGGTGAGGGCAGAAGTCGGGGATGTGACAATCCTGGTGAATAATGCCGGCATAATGCCTTGTCGTACGTTCCTGGATCACACGCAGGAGGATATCAAGCGAATATTCGACATCAACGTGATGGCGCACTTCTGGGTAAGCTAATCTTGTTGGTTCAGCGACATCCGTTGCATCGAGTTACGTTCTTTCTTTTATGGGAACTGTTGACAATTTTTTTCGGAACCTTCTTGCAGACGTTGCAAGCTTTCTTGCCCAGCATGATCCAAAGAAATCACGGACACGTGGTTGCTCTCTCGTCGATGGCCGGATTGCTCGGTTTGACGAATCTGGTCCCATACTGCGCTTCTAAGTTCGCAGTAAGAGGTGAGAATCCTCGTTCTTCTATCGCACAATTGATTATCTTTATGTTAACGTTGCTCCTTTTCGATGATCGAAGGGTTAATGGAGAGCCTGAACGAAGAGATCCGAGCCATGACCAAGGATAAATCTTCGAACATTAAATTCACCACCATCTATCCGTACATGGTGGACACGGGACTCTGCAAGAAACCGAAAATCAGGTGAAGTTCGCTCGAGCAGAGTAACTCGCAGAAACCGGCTCAATGTATTCCATATAAATATTAGAATTAGTCTTTAAGTTTTTTTAACATTATGCGAGTCTATTAAATGTGAAATTACTCGCTCAATGATAATCACGAACACACGTGTTTATTTGCAAGCAGGCTGGATTATTGGATGAAAGGTGGGCGCTGATTTCTGAAACCAATAAATAATGAAAATATTCATAAAAGATGTACCAAAGCGATATAAAAAAGCTGAGCAAGGATTATAATAATGATCGATGGAATACTTTTTATCTAGGTTCCCGGGCGTCATGTCAATGGTTTCACCAAAAGAGGCAGTTGCTGAAATAGTTAGTGCGCAGAGGCGAAACATCAAAGAAACATCCATTCCCGCGTGTTGGGCCTATGTCAACACCTTCTTAAGGTAAATACCAATTTGATCGACGGTTCTCAATTCTAATGAAATTGTTTAATGAAACGTGTATCCTGTACGCGTTTTTCCAGGTGTGTTCCTGTAAAGGGCATGGCTTCCGTGACAGATTTCCTAGACTCTGGCGTCGAGGCTGACAGTTAGCGAATATTCCTAGGATCTATTAACGGGAATGTGGAGGAAATTAAAATCTGTGTCCTTTACAAGATCACGAGGACGCTCGTTAAACTATAAATGGGGAACAGTTCGTTTTAAATATTTATACCGTTTTTTATATATTTGTATGCACGTGTAATTATTCATCAGGAACTTGTAGATAACTTCTATTACGTAATTCGTGTAATTACGTATTCGATACACTGTTCACCGCTACATTTGGACACAATCCAATTTCCTTTCGGTTTGTTGTTGGTATTCCCTAAGGTGTGACGCGTGATAAGTGTAAATTGAGAGATATTTCTTGATGTGTAATATACGGATTTGTACTGGTGTATTGTTTTCTATTAATTCACAGTAAATGAATGTTGACTCGTACCATGTGCTTGTATCTATAATGATTAATTAACACGAAAACGTATGAACCAACAACCGATTGTATTTTATTCTGTCCCAATCAGATTGAAACATAGCTACCTTCTTTTTAAGATAAAAAGGTGGTAATATTGATACATACTTCTAAGTTTGAACATGTTTTTAACGGTGCATAAAACTTATGTTAAAAATCTTAAAAAATTCGATTTTCCATAACCGAAGATAGATCATACAGCCTCTTTAGAGTCTCAAATATTTACATAACGTTTAATATGATATTTCGACTAGCTTTGCAATGCATTTTTGAAGATTTCATCTAATTTGCCGTAGCCTTTTAAACCAACTTTAGCGCCAGCTACTTGACAACCGAAAGTCACGGCTGCTTGTAGAACACTCTGCGTAATAAATTCAGTATGGCTACATTCTACGCTTTCTATATTATAATTCTTTGTGATATTGCGCTTATGCCCCTCTGTGTTTTCTTCGGACAAGTCCGATTTTCTCGTTTTAATAAAATCTAATTTTGCGGTATTTAAAAAGTGCAACACTGCTGCATTGAAAGTATCACCAGCACCCAATGTATCCACAACTTCGTGTGGTGGGAAAGCAGGAGACTGTACTGTGACATTGTCCGGAGTTCTTGCCATAGCACCTCGATCTCCCCAAGCACAGATCAGAGTTGCCCTAAAAGTAAATAAAGTTAGTAACACGTTAATATTTTGGTGTTTAATTTATTCAAGGCTTGTAATTTATATGCACACCCAGATTTAGCATCTTCGCTGATATTCTTTAATGTCTCACTCATATTATCATATCCTCTACTTTGAGCAAAATCTTTAGATATAAATGCAACATCAACATATGGTAACAGATCTAATAACTCCTGTTCTGGACGTTCCAGTTCCACACTAACTGTAATTGGCATTTGGCTGTAATCAAGTTCTTTATCTGTGGAATCTTGACTATAACTTAACATATTATTATAATTTTCCACACACTGCATCATGGATAATACTTCGTTTAAATTTCTGCCTTCAAAATGAATCCAGCTGTAATCTTGGAGATGCAACTGTTCAAAATCCTTCAATGTTAATTCAGGCATACATGGATTGTGATGCAGAATCGTGCGGGAACCATTACTCAAACTCAAAATAACCGTCGATGTTGGACATCCAATTCCTTGTACCATAGGACAATGGGAAAAATCAATGTGATGCTTCCTCATGTCATTTTGTAGATAGTTTAAATGTTCATCCGTGCTCAAGGTACCCAAGAACTCACAAAAACTTCCCAGGAGGGAAAGAACTGTACAAGTATTGGATGCATTGCCTCCCCTTTGCCATCTATATTCTACAGATCTAGAAACAATAAAAAAGGCAGCCACTAAACAAATGATTTAGAAACTATTTCTTATTCTTAATAGACTTTAATACTAATTGCATTATATATCATTCAAATTGCACGCTTCAAGACTTTATTATATAATCAGTGACAATCAGTGACATTGTTTCTCTTTCTCAAGGTATTATTAAATTAAAATTATTCTGAACAGGCATATCCATAAAATGATCATACGATAGTTGTAATATGGAAGTATTATAAATCATAATTCATGATTCATAAACTGTTACATAAATGGAAAACTGTTGTCACAAGAAATGTGAAAAATATGTAGGCATGATCACAAGAAGGTGTGAAAAATATGTAGAAATACGAACCGTATTTCTTCATTTGGCGTTTATGTAAAATGTGCAAAACATATGCACTATGAAAAACATGCGCGTGCAAGAATATCCACAGTCTAATTATATTCCGCAATTGTATAAAATCTATAATCTAAAATCTACATAGTCGTAATGATCTGTAAATTTACATCTCATTTATCCTGGATATCTAAGAATCGATCTGTCAAAAGATTATCTTAATGAAAGATAAACGAAAAGATAACATTCCATTTACTTGAGTTGTTTACGCCTCTTATATGTATCAGCCGCATGCTTACAATGAGCAGTGCTCATCGTGGTCATTGAGTACAATAAATGACAGATAAAAGATGACATTGCAAAATCGCAAACCTAAGAAAATCTCACCCAATCTCACCTTTGATCAGTGTCTTCTGCGGGGTATTGTCTACAAGCTTGCACAATATCCAAACAAGTTAACCCAACACAAAGAATTTTCTGCTGGCTCGGCTCCGTCGTAGAAGACGCACCAATAATTTTTTCATAAAAGCTCGAAATCATAGTAGATGCTAACCCTGCAGCACTCAAATCACGTTACATTTCTTCTGAACTGACCACGGTGTTCTGACTAATTTACATACACTCCAAACAAAATTTCACGATCCGATATCGCATGTATCCAGTACTTCTTTTTGTTTAAACAACATATTTCCCTCGTTATCTGACCGATTACATGTAGGCGATCAAGTCTACTCGACCTTTGACACTTCGAATAGAGATACATACATCGATAACTTTTAATCCTGCGGTAACTTTAGCGCCAAAAATAGCGATAATAAAACTTACGAAAAATGGGATTACGGTTAAACCGGAAGCATGTTAAGCAGTGTACCTTTCTTTACTACTATACTGATAAGTTATATACGAAGAATGAAGTGAACATCTGATTGGAACATAGATTTTTATCCATTTATATAGTGTGACATGTGTCACGTAGAATGGCTTATTGAAGATATTGTTTCAGGATTTATGATTAAACCATATTATCAGCAGGTAGAGATTAAGAATGATGATGTAAAATTAAAATTCCCGCTTCATTAACATGAAACGATTGTAGCGCTTGACTGACAGTGAAAAATGCCAAGATGGCAACTCAAGCGAATTCGTTGGATGTCGAGATAACTTTTATTGTTCGTTGATTTACAATTCCGAACTGATACCGAGAAAATTATCATATAAGGAAACAGAAACTTTTAGCTTAATTATAAGAAAGATCATTTGTCTTTTAAGCAGGTCTAACTATATGCGATATCTACGCGTGTATCGCATAGAATACGGAAGCTGCGGCACAAAAATTGCACAGCAACTTTTTTCTGATAATCTTTGTACACGTTCCGTTTAAACTCGTTTAATAAAAAAATTTAATATGGATCCTCGAATACATAGAAGAACAGACTCGGAAAAGGGACCGGGTGATTTGGTCAGTGTCATAACCTGTGACATTTTCGAAACATATTTCATGAATACAAACACATCGTTTGTTACGCATAGAGATATACATATATGTATTTCATGAAGCTGTAATAATTATCAGCTAAAATGTTTATGTTCAAAGTATAAGAAAAATGTTTCGCTTAGCAAATTATACAGTGTAGTCATAAAAAATCTATATTATTTTTATTATAGAAATTAGAAATAACGGGTCGTTTTGTTTTGCGTTAAATCTTGCAGATAGTTGAATGGCTAAACGAGGCTTCCTTAAATCCAACAGAGGACGTAAAAGTCACCAATTTATCTAAAGTTCATGAAATATTAGTAAATAAGGAACCACAATTGCTACCATTATATTTAGACGAAGCTTTGCAATTCTCCTTAGATAGAAATGCAGAAGTTAGGAAAACAGTCACTGGTTTCATAGACGAAGCAGGGTAATACTCATTACAGATGCACTGAAATAATTCATTCATTCAAGATTTACCAATTATGTTTTATTTGCAGAGTAAAGCAACCAGAAATAATTCCACGTGTAGTTCAAATACTCTTAAGATTAGTCTCTGATGAATCATCTGCTGTAGCCAAAAGAGCTTTAAGAGCTAGTGGTAGAATATTGAGAGCTGCATTAAAATGGATATCTAGTGCTACTACAGTTACTCCTGAAATGGAAGTAGCATGGGGTCAACTTAGTACACTTAAGATACAGATAATAAATATGATAGACAGTGATAATGATGGGTAAAATGATTATTCTAGCTACTATTTCCATAATTGTATTAATCGATTTTTGATTATTAAATTTTTTATATTTCAGCATTAGGACACAAGCTGTAAAGTTTCTTGAAGGTGTTGTTTTGATACAAACATATCCTGATCCAGATTCACCAAAAAAGCAAGATGATTTTTCTTTAGAAGATATTCCACTAACTTTAAAAATAGCTCGTAGGCGGAAATTGGAAGAAGAAGCCAACGATGTAATGGATTTGTTAATTAAATTTCATGGTTCTCCTCATGTTAGCAGTGTTAATTTAATGACATGCATGGGGTCACTGGCATTGATTGCCAAGACAAGACCTCAATTTATGCCAGGAGTAATACAAGGTATACAGCATATGTGGTCAAAGCTTGTTTATACACAGTTTGTAACTAATAGATTTTAATTTACAGCTTTACAAAGGTTACAACACGATTTACCTCCAACATTGTCTGATTCTCAAGTCACTAGTGTACAGAAGCAGCTGAAATTAACATTATTAGGTCTAATGAAACACCCTGCTAGTATAGAATTCGCGTCTACAATAGCTAAGCAATTGGCACAGCTGGGAGCGAAAGAGCAAGAAATAATTAAAGCTTATCCAAAACCGGAGGACATCCGACGCATGAAAAAACGTCAACAAGTAATTTTGTTATTGATGTGAATGATGTGTCCTGATCGAAATTTATTCATTAGTAAATTATATAATTTTTAGGAAGCGGCTGCTGCTTCTGCTGCGAAACGGCTTAAAGTTGAAACTCCCTTAATACCGGAAGAACCGGAGGTCGTGCCCACTCCTGTACCGCCTCCAAAATTACCAGAATTATTGGAACTTTCGGAAAGTTTTATTTCCGAAAGATTAAGCGTAGAGATTGCTACAGATCTAGTAATGGATAGCATGGTAAATAATACGTCTTCTTTTGAATAAGATCGTTATCATTCCAAAACTTCTTCTATTAAACATATTTTATTCATAGGCATGGGTACCAGACACAATGACCACGATTTTTCAAAGAGAATATCAGCCGACTTCAACGACTGACGTTGCCATTCAACGGCAAGCGATTGCTAAATTATTGGCAGCGCAAATAAAACAAGCTAAAGCGAAGAAGAAAAAGGAGTCGAAAGACGAAGACGCGGTAATGGAGGATTTAATAAAGAATCCGACTATCAGCGTGGCAGAAGCAAAACGGGAAAGAAAACGTGAAAAAGATAGAGAAAAGGAAAAGGAAGCAAAGGCATCTTTGGAAGCCCATGAAAAATCCCTTGTAAAAGCAAGAAACCGTTTGAAAGCTTTGAAATTGTCTGAAGTCACGAAACCGTTGCCAAAAGAAATAAAAGAAAAAATGTTACTAATGGCTGTTAATAGGATCTTGTTGTCTGAAAAAACAGCCGTATTTGGTGGCGTAGCCGCCACAAGGTAAATAAACTACAAAAGAAATATTCTGTGAGATTGGAACTTAATTATGATTAACTAGTTATTATTTCATTTTAGGTCTAAAATCTTAACAACTCTAGCTGCAACATTTAATCCATATATTAAAGAGGCAGTATTGCGATACATTACTGATGATATGAGAAGTCGTTTAGACTTAGCTCTAGGCTGGTTGTACGAAGAATACGCGTTACTTCAAGGTTTCCAAAGAAGAACTACACTGTGCACAAAGCCTCAAGAAGCACCACATCAAGCCTACAACTTTCTGTTGTGTACTTTAGTGTCAGCAATAGATCTGGTACAAGGAAAAGATCGAGATACATTATTGAACAGGTATTAAGTGTATCGAGTAATGTATTTGCAAATGAAAAAATGTTGTATACGTCACATTCATTGTTTACTTTGTTTTTAAAAGATTGTATTTGGAAGCCCCTTTAATTACCGAAGACGCTGTGGAGGCTTTAAAAATGGTGTCTTCTGACGAGACCAGAGGGTTGGTGCCATTACAGTTACTGAAAGACATGGTTATTCGCAGACCAACGAAGCAATTAGTTTTCTTAAATGTGTTACTATGCCATACTGGTCACGAGAACAATACTGTATGTAATATCATTGTATATTATTTGTGATAGACTAAAGAAACTTCCAATTTTCTGTTTACACATAGATACGGGAAGCTGCAATAGAATTAGTGTGCCAGCTATACAGCCGTCCAGAATTAAGTAAACTCATAGAAGAGTACGCGGTTCTTTATTTAGGTTTCTTACGACTCCATACTCCACCCGAGATTGTTTTTGGACAGGATCGAGGTAGACCTCAAATAGAAAACCAATGGACAGAATCGACTACGAGAGCGTGTCTTGGATTATATCTCGCGCTACTGAGCGAACATCAAGATCTAATCCACGAGTGAGTCATCTCTACAGTGAATGTATTAACAATTAAGTCTTTCTCATACTCCTATTAATAACATTCTCCTAGATTGGCAAGAGTTTATACGTCAATGAGCGCGGATGTAAAACGTATGGTTCTTCGATTAGTAGAAGGACCAGTAAGGTCTCTGGGGATGGGCAGTCCACAGTTACTAGCTTTAGTTGAAAATTGTCCGAAAGGAGCAGAAACACTGGTTACGAGAATTATTCATATTCTTACAGAGAAATGTATGAGAACCTATAATTTCACGTTATATATTACCACTGTTTTCGATATCTTTAATGTGTTGCTTCATATTTAGCTGCACCGAGCGCCGAACTGGTAGCAAGAGTCCGAGAACTTTATCAAACCCGAGTTTCAGATGTTCGCTTCTTAATACCGGTTTTAAATGGTTTAACAAAGAAAGAAGTTATAGCCGCCCTCCCAAAACTGATAAAGTTAAATCCAATTGTAGTTAAAGAGGTAAATGTGTCTTTAATGATGTCTGCGTGAGCTTAAGGTAAGATCGTATATTAACGATTCAACGATTCTTTCACAGGTGTTTAATAGGTTACTGGGAACTCATAATAACGAAGGCGGCGTACCTCATACTTCTCCGATCACACCTGCTGAATTGTTGATAGCCCTACATAATATAGACTCCAGTAAAGCAGAATTAAAAACAATTATAAAAGGTATGATATATATTCAGTGTTCATCTATAAGAAACAACGATTTCTTTTTATGCTTAGAATCATTTGATAATATCGGTTTTCAGCTACGTCTTTATGTTTCGCGGAGAAACAAGTGTATACGCAGGAAACTGTGGCCGTTGTAATGCAACATCTGATGGACATGACACCGCTTCCTACATTGTTAATGCGTACAGTAATACAAAGTCTAGCTCTGTACCCGAGGTTAAGTGGATTTGTTATGAATATACTACAACGGTTAATTTTGAAGCAAGTTTGGAAGCAGCCGAAAGTCTGGGAGGGTTTTGTCAAGTGTTGCGAACGAACACAACCACAAAGTTTTGCTGTCATCTTACAACTTCCTCCGGCTCAATTAGCAGAAGCATTAAAGATGGCTAGTAACTTACGCGCCCCCTTACTAGCGCATGTTGAAGCGTTCGCTGAGAATCAGGTAATTCTAATGGCATTATTCTTTTACTAACCATAGAAGGTTTTTGTATAAATAAACTGTGGTTATTGCTTTACAGAAAGCGCACATTCCACAATCGATAATGGACGTTATTCAGGGTAAATCACCCTGCGACATGCATGATGAATTTGATATTGTGAGTAAAGATAGTTGTATATAAAGAATTGATTTTTATATTATCATAAAAACAAAATAAATATATGAACTGATCCAAACAGCTTTTCCTATAATTTCTTGCAGGCACCACCCGGTGATTATCCGATCGAACAAAAACCAGATACAATGGAAATTGATGTTTCAGAACCAGCTCCCCCTGGTTTAGATTAGCATAAACTCATTCCAGTGTTGGGATCTGAATCATCATCTACAGATTGTCCCAACTTTAACGAATTCACACTGTAAATCATAAATATGTTTGTGTATACTTCGTGACAATCTGAAACGTTTAGATCCATATGTTCTTTGACTCGTTTGAAAAGTGTACATAATTTAAATTTTGAATTTTCTTGTCGAAAATGAACTCTATTTTATGTTTTTGACAAGCCCACTTGAATATATGGTTTTGTAAATAGTTCTTCCATTACAATTGAATGTACATACATCTGTATGTTATTTTGCACGGTGTAATAGTATATTCTCAATTGCATACCGAAATTATTTAATTAATTTTATTTCAACAAGGATCAAGATTGTCATTATTAATTAAAAATTATATTTGTAGAAATATATTTATTAAGACTTGGAATTCTTCGAAAAATATACATAAAAGCATTTTCAGAAAAGAATAGAGATGTTACACAATTATATGTACATATTCTGTACACAGTATTGGTTATGGAATTCAAAGTATACATTGTCAAGGACGCAAAATAAATGTTTTGCTACGTTAAATTGTCACGATACTGTGTATATAGATCATTCTTTCAATATGAAATATGATAACAGTTTTTATTCGTTTTACAAAATATATGTGATTTACGTTGCATACGTACAAGTTGCATAATATAATGTTCAACTTGGTATTATATTTATCCTCGCGAATGTCTCCCTCAAACAGTAAGTATAAAGACTCACAGTTTCTGGTTTATACTCAAACATTAAGTATCATGAATGTGTTTATCATGTTTTATACATTGTGCGTATATGTTTCTTGCTCCATTAATTAATGAGTCATTCTACCGATTATTCGTATTTACTCATACGCGTATCTTACATATGACATGTTGTTTTACTGTATATGAGTATTAAAACATGTAAGAGCTACGTAAATGTAATGTGTATGAATTACAAAACAGAAGTTACAAAAAGTTAATCTTTATTGGAAGATGCTTCAAAGATCGAACGATATAGAAAGAGCAAATAAAATATTTTTTGTTATACAAATCTCAAACTTCTCCAGTACAGTTTCCCACAATATAACTGCCAGAAACAAATTATCACACTTAATTAGGAAAACTAAATATCATCCAAAATCAACTCCCGTGTCTAATAAGTCGCGCATCATAAACGATGCCTTTTTCGGAAGTACCCTAAAAAAGTGAAATGTTAATTACATATGAGATACTTAATTGCATTAATTGTAGAGTTACCTGAGAACATGTCCCAGATATAGTAAATACCCAGGTACACTGAATTCCGCATAATTTCGACGAACACCATCTAAAATTTGCTTAGCTGCTTCTACAGCGGGCATTGTGCCAAAGTAGCTTGGTATTCTACATGAAACGTAAAAAAAAAGTTAGTTGTTTATAGGAATACGAGTATTGTTTATTCGCTCCCATACCTGAAACGAATATCTCTTGCCATTTCTGCGCTCACAATAAATGGGTAAACATGAACTAAGGTAATTATAATATTACTATTAGAATGCCTTAATTCAGTATGTAATGACTCAGCTAAACCTTGAACAGCAAACTGAGCAGTAGACAAAGGAACCCTACTTCCTCCAGTAACAACACCTGATAGACCAGCCACAGAAGACAAAACCACTATGTGTCCCTTGCCAGCACGTTCCATGGAAGGTAAAACTGTTTCTAATAACTAAAAGCACATCTCACTGTTCATATTTATGATCAATTACATGTATATTGTACAACATATATTTTACCCAGAAGTGGCTGACTACAGTTAACTCAATTGTGTGCCTAATTTCTGGTTGATCTTCAATTAATGCCCTAGGACTTGGTATACTGCAGCAATGAAAAAGCATTGTAATTTCACCTAATTGTGATCGAATAATATTTACAGTACGAGCCACCTGTTGTAATTAATGTGATTCAATTATGTACTACCCTAACTATTCCATGGTATAAACTGTAATATTACAAACATTAAGCTTACTTCATTTTTGTCCGTAACATTGCAAATATATGTTTTTGCCACCCCCAATGCCTGTGAAGTTTTTTCTACAGTAACATTAGAATTTTCAGCATTAATGTCCACACAAGCAACACTGACACCCAACCGACACAAATGAATTGCTAATTCTCTGCCTACACCTCGTCCAGCACCAACAACCTAGGGACAAATAGCAGGTGCTTCATCAATGAAACGCACTGTTTATAAATTTGACTAAATAACCCTATTACCATTGCAACTTCTCCATGTAAACTTTTCAAAGGTGGAGGTCTAAATGTTCTATATATTGCCATTAAAATAGCAAAAAAGATGCCAACTAAAAGTGTTACAAGATCTAGCATCAGGATGAAAAGGGAATATACTTGTAAGAACATTTTTGGTGGCCTAAGATTTCTTCTTAGACTTTCCTGAAAAATTAATTTACACTTATGTAAGAAACATACTGAACCATAATATCAGTCTAAATAGAACATGATTTTAAATGTTATGACGTGGATCTGATGAAACCTTAATTTCAAAGATATGTAATCATTAAAAAAATTTTATACTATCGAATACACATGTTTGTTACATCATACTTACCATTTTCTGAAAAACAATAATTAAAACCAAGCGCGAACTCGATCGTGTCACGAGACAATTTGAATCAATTAAGTGCCTGAAAGAGGCTTTTATTTAATCGAAACATATATACCTTGTATCAACTATCGTCAAGAAATTATGATAACATATCATGTCATTGCGGTGGGAAGCTATCCAAAATTTGCATTGTACCAATCGAATATTTTACAAGGAGAATCGACAAGTTTGAATAAGAGTTTTAAAATAAATATAAAAGAACACGCTCACTCAAGTTCGTTTTTTCAAAATCTTCAACCGCCTTCACTGTTATTGCTGCGTACAGGCAGTACTCTAAAAGTATTTAAATAAAGTAACTCTAACTTTTACCATGTAATCGTACATCGGAAGATGATGGCCACTGCAATGTAATATTTAAAATTTCAAACTGTAAACTAATTGAAAGAATAATATACCACTTAATTCAGAACTGTAGTGAGGAATCCTATTAAGTATCAGCATCAAATTAGTTAAATTATTTTTTATATGTGTACAAATTATTTAAATAAGATATCACATTTGTCATTATTATACCCACACATTATATTAACCCTCTCGTCATAAATTTTAAAAGTTCAACTTTGCTAAACGATTAAACGAAAAGTGAAATACCAATTTGAAATATAACACGCTATGAACAAAGTGATAAACGCAAGCGCGTTTTAACACTGGTATATACATACACATGGTAAGCTTGCTGGGCCGACATTTTGCAATTGTATGTCAGCTAGTGCATTAAGTTAAAAACAAGATTCGTTCAAAATGTGGTGGTTCGAAATAGTTCCATGTATCTGTATTATGGGAACTTTGATGTCTATACCACAAATTGCAGCCTATCATACAGCTGAATGGCTTTATGGAAACGTAAGTACTTATTGCAACTTAACCTATACGTTCTCGCTTTTGCGTAACAAGTATTTTTTGAACTAGATATTTCTTTCCTTATTTCTATTTTATTTTGTCTTTGCAGCCAATGCGTAGAGATTTGACAAAAGAGTGGGATTTATCAATGTTTGAGAGAGATAATTGTTTAACTGGGAAATATTATGTAAAAAAAGTAAGTAATTGTCAAGTTTTGTATTGTTTAGTAATAATAAAAATGTTTACGCTAATATAACTTTCTCAAATTCAAGATTTCAATATTTATAAAAGAACTTACTCAATTGAATTGTTGGTTTTTTTACAGGGTATGGAAGAAATTCCTGACATGCCATAAAATTATGGTGTATCATATATTGTGGTAGTAAATTTATGTTATGTATAAATAATTAATAAAATACATACTTATAAAATGTTCTTTACTACCAGTTTCTTAATGCTCCTTGATTCGTAACACGTCCATTCCTATTGAACATTCTTAAAATATCTCTGTAATATGTAGATTGCAAAATTATTTATACACATACTGCACACGCTGAAATGTTTTTCATCTCTTTTCCACTGTTTTTAGTATTAAACCTCAAAAGTACATTATAGCACTGTCAACAATATACTTTGGAAAGTCTTCTGTATACAAGTCTCTTAAACTTAATAAGTTACCAAAAATGTTTTTGTAACAGCAATGGGCACTGTAAGAAAAACTAAAATAAACACAGTTCACAATTGCCCCCTAAATAGTAATTTTAGGAAAATTAATCCAGATATTTTTTAAATACCATTCCATGTTTAACAAGATATCCAGATGACACGTTCTTGCTGAGAGGAATAAATTGTCTTTAACCGAAGGAAAAAAGTTCCAAGGCGTAATCCGTGTATCTCATAATCCTTTATTGCAATAAAATCGTTCTTTGAGGAGGGAACTTACACGAAGCGGTGTTTGTACTTCCAGCCGTAGATATTCGGAAGAAAACGCCTCGGCGAATGAAAAATTAATAACTGCGAAGTTGTTCTGTCGGAAGGAATATTATTTCGCGTTTCTTGTACAGGCACAGCAAGCGTCCAGAGTTCTTTGGTTGTCAGTCCGCTCGGAAGAAAAGAAATATCGCGAGCATCCCAGAGGAATTCTTATTTTCTCCGTGCGAAACGTATTTTATGCTATTCATTTCCTCGGCACTTCCAATATGCTTGGCATCCCGTTCCGCGCCCGAAAATTCTTACTGTCCCAGGTAAATTTCGAGTGGCACGCGAAAGTCTTTTAAAGGGAAGAGAAGTTCCAGGTGTTCCGGACGTCGATGTCCTTTGTTTTCACGCCATTATAGTTCTGAACCCCTCGAAAATATATAAGATCGCCCCCTACGCGTAGTATACAGAGATAACGAACAATAGTCAGCTGAGGGGGGCAGGCCTTTGAACTGGGAACACAAAGGCCGTTACAGGTATACATACATATACTATACGCGCATTTTTCACCAGAAACGATGATAGAAAAAAAAGTAGACGGGGTTAATCGCGATTATCACGGGACTAACTAAACTGTGACGTGGAAAATACAGAAATATTTTCTTTATATCAAATAACGTACATAGATACATTGTGCGAATTTAGGACGTAAAAATCTTGTGCATGTTTTGGAATATTCCGATACAGCCGTATTGGAAAACTGTACGGATATTAATTTTTGAATACTTGTCAGAGTTTGGAATAAAAGGTTGCTATTAATTGCAGGCTCTGAATACGAGCTTTTAGCGATATGTATTCGTAACACTGAGATAGTGCGTCGGAACAATCGATCTTTCTAGATAAAACAGTCGACAATATTTCTCCGTAAACACACCGTTGTATTAATTCGCATGTGATGCAAGATGTTTCGCTCGAAGGTCGAGGGATCTTTCAGATATAAAATAAGGTAGATATCGTTCGAAATAATTGCTGTTGTACTGAGTCATCGATTACTGAACGCCGCAGGATATAATCTCAGCTACTGAGATAAGAGCACTTAGAGGCTAGATACTTTCAGAGCTTTAACGGATCTTAAAACGTTTTCCGTACCAGCACGGCAGATCCGGTCGAACGAAAGCAGAATTTATCGATTCTGCCATTCATCTCCGGTCCGTACTACCTGAGACCCCTTTCCAACCAATCGCGATGTCGGAATTTCTCAGTTTGAAAAATTAACCGCCGAGGGGCTGGATACTGTTGAGTCGAACAATTTGGCGTTCTCTTTTATGTGGGATTATGTCATAATCGAGAACATGTTCAAAAGAACAAAACACTTGAAATATTATCTTTTGCCATTTCATTTTTACTATTCCAATCATTCCATTAGCACTGATTTAATTCGAATCGAAGTTTACACAGCTCTCGCGTACTGCCGTCCGGATAAGAGCATACAATATACGTACAGTATACATACTTGAAAAACGATCTATTTGAATTACTTGACCATCTGTATCTTACGAATAATTGAACATGTTACTCAACCGAAAATACTTTTCCCGCATTCAATTATAAGGGTTAGGCATACATCTTCGATATTAATTGAAATCGCGAGGAAAAGTTGCAGGAAAATCGGCGCTGTTCGAGGTACATTCAGCAAACTATGGCAGAGCTTTAAATCGGTCTTGGGATCTCGGCGAGCGCGGCTCGCAGTCTAGCGCGAGACGTCGCGGAGGTAGCATCGTGTTCCACGCGTCGCGATCTTTCTCGTTCATGATTTCTCGCTTACGATTCTTTCGTCGTAAAATCACTTCGAACTGATTCTTCCGAAATCGTCAAATGTCATTCTAATTTCCGATAGACGACCGAAACGGATATACGTACGCAGCCGGATCGTATTTGCGCGGGAATTCACAAGAAACAGGGTCGCGTTGCAAGCGCATCTGTTCAGCATTTGTTCCTTCGGTTACAAAAGGACCGGCACGCTTGTCAGAGGCCAGTCGGTTGGGCGAAAGAACGGCGTGCAGCAAGACCGCAGTATTTCTTTGAATCTCCTTTCGTGCGATTGAAACGCGCGTGCAGGACAAATTAGTCTTTGGATAGTTTGCCGATTGTTTTCTACACGCGTTACCCTTTCTCGATGCGTTTATATATATATATACATACATATATATACATACATATATAGTGTATCGACGAAAGTTTCGGTCGGCGTCCACGGTCAACCTGTTAGTTAGTCATGTGAGAACGGTAAAAACCGCTCGGCAGGAACTCTGGAAGAGCAGTTTCTCGGAAATGGTAATAATGACGTAGTGGAACCTGCTCCTCGTTCCGGGCAAGGATACATGATGCTCTGACGGTCGTCCCTTAGCTTCTTTGTTGGTTGTGTGGTTTGGTGCGATGTTTGTTTGCTGGATCTGCGTACGGTGCAACACGTCCACAAAGTTTACGAAAATGCGTCATTCGAACGATTCCACGGACGAAACACTGTGAGATTATCATCTGGGAACGGAAAGCCACGGAATTACAAGAGATCGCGACAACGAAATACCGATTTTACGTCGCCATGCAGCGATTTGAAACAATTTCGCCAGGGTGGCATGCTAAGAAGATGGGTAAGTGACACATGAAAATTGTTACAGTAGCACGCTAACTGGGCTTCTCTTGATTCAAACCGATCGACTCTACGTGTTTCAGATTTTTGCGATCTTAATACCTTTTACATATTTCTGTTTAAGTAGTTTGCATGTTGTGTAATATCGTTATCAAGAAGTTGAAATATAACGGTTACGCGTGGAATATTTGTTTTAATTACTTTTTATCAGTGTGGATTTTGAGAGGCTCAGTTATTCGAACGGAACAAGAGAAAGTTATTCGATAAATTAATGATAGTGTACCAATTATCGAGCGTACAAACAAACGTGCGTTTTCCTTTCTTTGTATACGTTTGGTTATGACTCACAGCTGGCTCGCACGATCGGTAAGTCAAGAATCCGGATAATTAACAATTTATTGTCTTCTTCTCTCTCCGTCGAGATTTAAATGTTTTTGGGTTTCCTGTTCTCGAGTAATTACGTTTCGTTTTATTCGTGCGTCGTAAAGATCCACGATGTTCCCATGATGTTTCAAATAACATGGTGTTTAGACGCAAAAGGAATTGCGACTCGTTTCCTGAAAAATCGATCGGGTCCCGTACAGCCGTGAATAAACGCACAAACGTGTTTCGCAACCGTTGCCAACCGCCTTTTCTTCGTCGGAGAACGTTCATCCTGGCGATTTTTTTTCGCTCTCTGCCGGTCGCGCGTATTTCCCCCGATTCCAATAAAAAAAAGTAAATTGACGTGCGGGTCAGTAAAATTTCAGGCTGATATTTTCGGCCCAAGGACGCCAGGTTCTTAAAATTTTTTCGGACTTGCTGGGTTGAACGTTCACTGTTGCTGCGTACAATTAGCAATTACCTTTCCCGTTACTCCGGTTCCTCCCTTAGTCCCGGTGAAATGGTCGTGTTTCTTCGCGAAGCCCCTGAACATATTCACACGACACAGTTCAAACGTGTTTAGATATCGATTCTATTCCAGTCGATCTTACGTCCAGACGATTTAAACATCTCGCAAGTTCGTGTTGCACACGTGGAACGTTAATCGGAACGCTGACGGAAGTATTAATACTTCAAAGAACAAGTTTTATATTTAAATTAAAATTCGTATGAAACAGGTTGGTTCTTTAAAATTCCTTCTTTTATATTGCCGTTTAATATCTATGATCAATGTCCTCTCGAGCAGTTGTTAAAGAACGATGTCGGTTAGACAGCGTTTGACGTATGTGTCCACCATCTTGAGACAGTATACATAGATAATATCGTCGACGTTTAACACACAGAATCTTGAAAATGGATATAGTTACAATGTTTCTTTTCGTCCTATATTCCTAGAATCGTACGTTATTCTGTAATACATCGTTTTTTTTCACCAGAAAAATCTACAAACATTACACATCCACTAACCTGGGTGTAACCCCTTCAGTTCTATCGGCCATAGGGAGGGGGGCTAAGGCGAAATGGCAGCACCGGTGGGATTTTTGCGCCGACAGCAAGGAGGATCGTATTAACAGCTAGAGTTAAATTACATTTCCTTGAACAGGGGACAAACGGGCGTCCTTATCGTCTCTAGAGAGCTAATCTTCTTTCGAGAACGTTGATAAATCGCCCTCCGTCGACGGTTTTTCCGTGCGCTCGCGAACGAAAGACCGACTCTTGTCTCTTCGTTACTAGCCGTTTGTTATGTAAACACGCGGTTGTTTCGTGGACAGGGTCGGGGACAAATATGTATGTATAACCGGAGCCGCAGATAAAAATTGTTGTCGGGCATCGTGGAAACGGTACAGGCTCCCATAAGTCGACGGGAACTACTTGAACCGGCCGTGAAGGATCTCCCGTTTTTGGGTATTCTTTCTGTTACACGAGGCTCTGACTGAGGAACGCGCGCGAAAAGCGTTTAATTAAAATAATATTCGTTGCATAAATCGCGGCCGATTCATTCTCCGTTACAGCCTGAATATTCGTGCGCGCGTAATTAAAATTTCCATCGCTTTGAATTCCGTCCCAACGCGCAACCCCTTTCTGCGTATTTTATATTAAAGTAATCATGGAAACGTGTGTGTGGGTGGATTCGTTAACTTTGAACCGTCATTTATCTAGCCTCGAAAAAACGGAAGCGTGGAAAATGCGTTTCTTTTTTCGGAGCGGATAGTTTTTGGATCTCGTTGGATGGAACGTTTATCATTACTTTCCCCGCGTATATTATTATTTTTAATGAGCTCCGTGGTTTCCGGCCCTTTGCTACGTTAATAACCCATGCACGATCAGTTCGGTTTTTAAATAACTTATATACAGGGTGTTTCACAAATGCTCGAAGTGATGTCCATCAACTTTGATATACTTTTTCACTAATCCCTCTATCGTAGTTAATTATTTAAATCTACTCCCTTAGATTTGTGGATTTTTTCGCACTTAAGTTCACATTAAGGTCATACTATTTAGGCCATTGGATTGGTCTTGACTCAATTATTATACCACGATGATAAAAATATGTACAGTCCCATTTAAAAACACAGCAATGACCTTGAAATTTCGAAACAGACGACCTCGAGAACAATTGTTCCCTCACATTTTTGTGTATCCTCAAAAACAAGCGAGATATTGAACGGTGCTCACGTTAGGTGGAACACACTGTATATGTCGATTGAGTCGTTAGCGGCGGGTCGACGGTGTTCTAATTTCACGTGATGTCTGTCAATATTTGACAAGACTTACCGAGAACTTCTGTGCCTCGTTAGAGTTTCATGATGCAGGTGTATATTGTGTACTTATGCAAAATTATCGTCATTCACGTATATCACAGGTATGCGGGTACATGTTCTAGATGTAAAACTGATATACAATATCGAAACCGTAAATGACTCCCTGAAAGTTACATAATCTGGGAACTAGCACCGTGACTATATGTAGAGGGCAGTAGACACGATCCTGCGACAATTTCAATGTCTCTCCCTTCCATCTTGTTCCCATTTACATTCAGTACCAAAGGAAGGCCCATTTATTATCAGTTTAGCTCAGTACGATAGTAATGTGACTATGTAAAATATTGTAATTCCAGTATTTCAATATAAGAGGTCCTTTTGTGGTATAATTTTCTAGTCTTCCCGCGTGACAATGTGAAATATCGTACTCCCCAATATGTACGTCGATGGAAGAGGATCTTTTGTGGTCAATTTTCTAGTCCTTCCGTGTGGCTATGTGAAATATTATAATTCCCAGTATGTCGATGGAAGAGATGTGATCCTTTTATGGTACAATTTTGCAGTCCCCCTGTTAGTAAGAGACGGGGGTAACTACCAGTAATAAGTTTTCGTAGGTCTATAAAGTAGCTGCCAGCTTCTCAGTGGCCCAGTTTACGATCGTGCATAATATCGTTTCAGCGACTTCATAGCCCCCTCCCACCACTCCCCCATTTCGAAGTAAGGTTCGAGTCATTTGGAAAATAGAGATGGTGTGCAAAATCGCTAATAGTGACTAATCAAAGTGATCGCAGAATCACGATCACGGTCGTGATTGAACCCCATCCATTCCGTGATTTTTTTTATCTTGAGCGAACTTGCGAAAATTAATTACATTACCATTTTGTTCTTAAAAATCGGTATAAAAAAATGAAAATATAAAAGAATGATTAGGTATACTTATAAAACACATATTTAACAAATACGTAAGTATTTATAATCATTAATATATTCATTATTCTTCATTGTTCCTCATTATTTCTTTACTTCATGCGACTGGTATTATCGTCTCGTTAATCTAAAATCTAGAGGTTATGTATCGCGTGGAAAGACTGTTGAATGAAAGAAGTGTTATGTTCCCCCGCTCAATCAGGAACGATCACGAAAAATCGGAAATTACTGTGAAAAATCACCGTGATTGGGAACAGAAACATTGTCTTTACCGTAAAACGACCCGATACGCTTCGAGTTTTCCAAGGGTTCTCAGCCCGTCGTTATACACGGCGGGCACGCACCGTGCGTATTTAAACGCATAATTAAACGACGTTGCATCATGGGCAAATTGCAATAATCCTGGCCGCTTTCCCATTCGCGGGGAGTGCGCACGAGGGAATAATTGTTTTCGCTTCATTGTGCAACGCACTCGCGTTATCCCGTATGGCACGCGTGTGCCCAAACCAGGGCTTTTGTCTTTTGTCTCCTCGTGTCACCCGTCAGAAGCGAAGCGCAGGCTCCATCTTTCGACGCTCCGTTTTCTTATTCGACGACCCGTGTGCTCGGGGAAACCCCGAAATAAGGCCCGTTCCTATACGCGATCCGAGTCGAACCGTGAAGCGTCCACGGATTTCCGTACCCTTCAGCACAGAGACTTGTATTATTACGTCCTTTGACGGAACTAATGCCTTACCCTCGAGGGAGAGCTCTGTGCGACATACACAGATATTGTAGGACGGTGGTGGAACTTGAACGATGGATTAGCTGGAAGAAATATGAGATCTTTTTCTGAAACTGAAACGAGTTTTTCATGAAAATGCGAAACCATTGGTAGGAAGTATCCCCATACGGTCTTGTTATTGTAAAAATGCCATCCGTGTTGTTACAGAAAATATATAAATATCCTATTCCAAACAACAACGAGGGGGGGGGGCGTGTAACGGCGAACCCAAGAGGGAACAAATGAATTCTTTTGTGGCTCGAGCAGAGAGACAAGTTGTTACGTCGTCGGTCGTGTTTCGTTAAATTGTGTATCGACTCTGTGGGGGTGGCAGGAAGCATCGTCGCGGCTCCTCTTTTCCTAGAGGCCCAGAAATAGGATTCCATCGATGTGTGTTGTGTACTTTTCGTTCGCTTCGTTTCACGGGGGATTGTTACCGATATTTTTGATAATTGCGTATCGTTGTCCCTCCCCTTCGACGTCGTTCTTGCTGTTCGCTGGGGGAACGAGAGCAATCGATAGAGGGAACATAGAACGCAATTCTCGTTGCATCCCCCTTCTCCCGTTAAAATTGATACTGCGTAAAAACCTGTCGTTGATCGCGCGTTTCCATCTTTTATCCATGGG